CCCTTCTGCTGAATTTGTCCTGCATGATGACAGGCTGCTTTGGGAGCTTTCTCTTTCCCAGAGCTGTGCTGTAGCCCGATCACACTACATCAATGATAGGAGCAGCTCCAGCCTTGTTTTGGCAACATTTACCTGTGTCTGCTCACTGACCAAGGCCCACAGTTTGTCAAGATTGACAGTTGGGCAGAAGCTCTGGTTCCTCTTTAAGTGGTAATGCCATCAAAGTAACCTGGGTGATATTTGTCCAAGTTGATCCTGTGATGACGCATGCCACCAGCATTCCCTCAGCCTCTGGGGCTTCCAGTGCCTGCTGATGCAGCTGTGGCCGTGGCTCATGTGGCCCCGAAGTTTCCAGGTCTTCCTCGGTCTGGATGGCGTGTCAGCAGCCAAGACGAAAGTTAATGTTGTATTATTATAGCAAGCATTGGACCCTTTTTATTACTAGGAGAACTTGGTGTGTTTCTGTTATTTCATAAATTTAAGATGATCATACATTTGGAGATTTTTGCAAAACCAAGGTTAAAACAAATTTGGAAGACCTGTTGACAATCTCTGGATTTCTTTTTAAGAGATTAAGAACTCGGAGTTTAGTAACTCCTGATACATGATATTGATATACTACAGTGGACGTTCCATTTTCTGATGAATGGTAACAAAATACTGGCTTGAAGAAATTTAGTAATTATTGTATATATAGTAAATTCCTACTGAGTGCCTTCAAATTTTTAATCAACTTTATGGAGGTATAATTTATACTACATAGTAAAATTCACCAATGTTAAGTGTGCAGATTGATGAGTTTTCACCAATACATTTACAGTTGTGTCACTACCACCACAATCATGAGCTGCTAGAACATTTCCATCACCTCCCCAAATTTTCTGTGCCCCTTCACATTAATCTTCCCCTTTCTCCACCATCCCTGGGCAACCTCTGATTTGCTTTCTGTTGCTATAATTTTGCCCCCCCCCCCTTTTTTTAAGTCATCACCCAAAGATATGTGGGTTTTTTTAAATTGATTTTAGAGAGAGGAAGGAGAAGAGAGGGACAGAAAGAAACAATGTGAGAGAGAAACATCAATTGGTTGCCTCCTGTACTTGAGACTAGGGATCAAACCTACAACCTGGGTATGTGTCCTGTCTTGGAATCAAACCCATGACCTTTTGGTGTATGGGACAACATTCTAACTAACTGAGCCACACTGGCCTGGTCGGGAGTCATTTTTTATACATATGCTATCTAATTGTTCCAGCACCATTTGATCAAAAAATTAATTTTGCCTTATTGACCACATGTATAGTTCCTGTATGTGTGTGTTGTATTCACCTATTTCTGCATCTTCTGCTCTCTTTAGTTGATCTATATGTCTATCCTCGTACCAAGAACACTCTGTTTTGATTATTGTAGCTTTACATGGTATTGAAATCAGTTAGTGTGAGGCCTCCAACTTTATTCTTTTCTCGTTTTCAAAATGATTTTGGCTTTTATAGGTCTGGTGCATTTTTATATAAGTTTTAAAATCAGTTTGGCAATTTTATTTTATTTATTTATTTATTTATATTATTTTTTTTTATTGCTTAAAGTATTACAAAGGGTATTACATATGTGTCCTTTTTTTCTCCGCCCTTGACAATTCCCCGGCTTCCCCTACCCCCCAGTGTCTTATGTCCATTGGTTATGCTCATATGCATGCATACAAGTCCTTCGGTTGATCTCTTACCCCCCTCCCTCCTGCCCCCCAACCCTCCCCGGCCTTCCCGCTGCAGTTTGACAATCTGTGTGAGGCAGCTCTGCCTCTGTATCTATTATTGTTCAAAAGTTTATAATGGTCTCTATTATCCATGAATGAGTGAGATCATGTGGTATTTTTCCTTCATTGACTGGCTTATTTCACTTAGCATAATGCTCTCCAGTTCCATCCATGCCGTTGCAAATGGTAAGAGTTCCTTCTTTTTTACAGCAGCATAGTATTCCATCGTGTAGATGTACCACAGTTTTCTAATCCATTCATCTACTGATGGGCACTTAGGCTGTTTCCAAATCTTAGCTATGGTGAATTGTGCTGCTATGAACATAGGGGTGCATAGATCCTTTCTGATTGGTGTTTCTGGTTTCTTGGGATATATTCCTAGAAGTGGGATCACAGGGTCAAATGGGAGTTCCATGTTTTGTTTTTTGAGGAAACTCCATACTGTCTTCCATAGTGGCTGCACCAGTCTGCATTCCCACCAGCAGTGCACGAGTGTTCCTTTTTCTCCACATCCTCTCCAGCACTTGTCGTTTGTTGATTTGTTGATGATAGCCAGTCTGACAGGTGTGAGATGGTACCTCATTGTTGTTTTGATTTGCATCTCTCGGATGATTAGTGACTTTGAGCATGTTTTCATATGTCTCTTGGCTTTCTGAATGTCCTCTTTTAAAAGATGTCTATTTAGATCCTTTGCCCATTTTTTGATTGGATTGTTTATCTTCCTTTTGTTAAGTTGTATGAGTTCCCTATAAATTTTGGAGATTAGGCCCTTATCAGATATAATGTTGGCAAATATGTTCTCCCATGTAGTGGGCTTTCTTGTTGTTTTGTTGATGGTTTCTTTTGCTGTGCAGAAACTTTTTATTTTGATGTAGTCCCATTTGTTCATTTTCTCTTTAGTTTCAACTGCCCTAGGAGCTGTATCAGTGAAGAAATTGCTTTGGCATATGTCTGAGATTTTGTTGCCTTTGAATTCTTCTAGAATTTTTATGGTTTCCTGTCGTACATTTAAGTCCTTTATCCATTTTGAGTTTATTTTTGTGTATGGTGTAAGTTGGTGGTCTAGTTTCATTTTCTTGCATATATCTGTCCAATTTTCCCAACACCACTTATTGAAGAGACTATCTTGGCTCCATTGAATGTTCTTTCCTCCTTTGTCAAATATTAATTGAGCATATTGGTTCGGGCCGATTTCTGGGTTCTCTATTCTATTCCATTGATCTATATGCCTGTTCTTGTGCCAGTACCAGGCAGTTTTGAGAACAGTGGCTTTGTAATACATCTTGATATCTGGTATTGAGATCCCACCTATTTTCTTCTTTCTCAGGATTGCTGCAGCTATTCGGGGTCTTTTTTTATTCCAGATGAATTTTTGGAGAGTTCGTTCTAGATCTGTGAAGTATGCCGTTGGTATTTTAATGGGAAGTGCGTTGAATTTATAGATTGCTTTGGGTAGTATGGACATTTTAATGATGTTGATTCTACCAATCCATGAACACGGTATGTTCTTCCATCTGTTTATGTCTTCCTCTATCTCTTTTTTCAACGTCCTGTAGTTTTCTGAGTAGAGGTCTTTTACCTCTTTAGTTAAGTTTATTCCTAGGTAGCTTAATTTTTTTGGTGCGATGGTAAATGGGATTGTTTTTATAATCTCTCTTTCTGAAAGTTCACTATTGGTGTATAGAAATGCCTCAGATTTCTTGGCATTAATTTTGTATCCTGCTACTTTGAGTTTGGCAATTTTAACAAAAAAAAATCTTGCCAGTACTTTGACTGGGGTTGCATTTTATCAATAGATCAGTTTGGCAAAAATTGACATCTTAATAATATTGAGAATTTCTGTCTGGGCTTTGATTTGGGGTATTTATTCTATTTTTAATATTAATGAAGCAAATTATTATTATTTTTATTAATATTTTTCTGGAAATGCTTAGAATTTTGTTGCATTTTTCCAACTTCCCCTTGTGTGACCAAATAAAAATTTTTACCAGACAGTGTATGACCAGCTCTTGGATTTAGTTCCCTTTTTCTGCTGAGCAAAAGAAAAAAGTAAAAGAGGAAGGAAAATTACTTTCACCAACTTAAAAACTTTGTAACTATTAAACCCTGTGTAAACCAGTGACATTATTTACCTCATTTTAAGCCCAGATCCTGTCAGATGACATAAAATTAATATTGTCATCTTCTAGGCCATTGCTTTTCAAAGTATGATTTCTGCAACCATGAGTATCAGCTGGAGACGTGTGAGAAATGCAGATTCTCTGGCCCTACCCCAGATCAGCTCAATCAGCAATCTGTTTTCACAGCATTTCTCCCCTGCCCCTACCCCCTACCCCCTGTTCTGTTATAGGCTAAAGAACTGCTATCATGGACTTTATTTTAAAAACAGCTTTATTGATACACAAAAAAATTCATGTATTTATCAGAATTATCCAGTGTTCCTTGGCTCAGAACACCTGGGGAGATTTCTGGAAGATAAATCTCAAGTTTTATCAAAGGAGAGGGAGAGATGGAGTCCAGTTATTGCAGCTGTTGATACGGAAGTGAAATCTATAGGACTTGGATATCAGGGCAGTGGGATGGGAGAAATCAGAGGACTCAAGGTTTTGATACAGTGAGCCTGTATTCTATAAAGTTCTTGTGTCACACACCCTCTGATTTCTTCATTGGTCAGCTTTAGAATTCATGTTCTCTCTTGGTATCTGTACAGGGTAGTGTTTTAGCAATGTTTAAACAGCACCTGGCACCTGAAGTTCTTGCTGCTGTTTTAGTTTGGGGAGATTCATTCATGGACAGTGTTATTGGTGCAGCAAAATGTAAACTGCTCATGGGAGCAAAACAGGAAATCTTAAATCTGGCGTCTCTTGTTTGTCATTTAGGATTGATAGTCTGTAAAAGTTTTTCTGTCTCAGTTCATTGTAATCATTTCTCATTGACCAGTCTTAGTAAAACAAAACATGTTTTGAGCATTGTAAACGATTTCTGCTTTTAGGACTCTAGATTTAAAAAATAATAATAAATAGGTTTATTGTTTGAAATTGCCGGAATATTTTCATAAGTAGAGGCCTAACCAAAAATTACTAGCTGGTACCAGAACCACTGCCTTCCCCTTACTTTAATAGAAATTCTAATTTAGAGAAGCAAATCTCTTACACTGGGTTTTTTGTTACAGCCAGTCCTCCTCGCTTTGTGACAGTAGAAGAGCTTCTAGAGACAGCAAAAGGAGTCACTAACATGGCTCTAGCCCATGAAATTGTAGTCAATGGAGACTTCCAGATTAAACCTGTTGAATTACCAGAAGATAGGTAAGGTGGTTACTAAGTTACTTGTTTAGTAGAATGCTGTCATTTCCCAGTTCTGGGAATATTTTCTTCAGTTGATGTCATTATATTCAAATACACCTCTCCTTTTGTATGTTTCTAAAAATACTCCTCTACCAAGAATTACTCGAGTTTGAAAGTGGATTGAAGGACCATTGATCCTTCAAAAATGTAAATAAAAATCTTTCATGTTCACTTCTCCCTTCTCCATAGGACTTAGCTGCCTCCTACTGTGTTTTCATTGCTTGTGTCATTCATTTCACGTAACTATCACATTGCACTGTAGCTGTTGGTTTACTTGTGTTTCTTACCAGGTTGTAAACTCTACATCAGGGATGGGGAACCTTTTCTGCCCAGGGCCACTTAGATATTTTTAACATCATTCGAAGGCCATACAAAATTATCAAATTAAAAATGAGCCTGCTATATTTGGTCGAACATTTAATTAACTCACCCTAATGCTTTGGCAGGGCCAGCCCAAGTGATTCTGTGGGCCTTATATGGCCCAGCAGGCTGGATGTTCCCCACCCCTGCTCTATAGACAAGAACTATACCTTGTTTTCTGTATCCCTAGCACCTGGCAAATACCATATTGAATCTAATACTCTATTGATTGTAAGGTGCACTTTTTAAGATGTATGGTCATAAGAAAGAAAAATCATTGGCCATTATAATTGTGAAAGTGCCATGGAAAAAAGAAAGGAGGAATGGCTGCTGGGTTGGCAAGTGCTAGTGTCTCCCACAGTAGGCTTTTAAATATGACTTTACAGACATTTCTTATGTGTTTTGCCAAGATAGTACTTTTTCACATTAATAATGCAGAATTAGCCCTAACCGGTTTGGCTCAGTGGATAGAGCGTTGGCCTGTGAACTGAAAGGTCCCAGGTTCGATTCCAGTCAAGAGCATGTACCTTGGTTGCGGGCATATTCCCAGTAGGAGGTGTGCAGGAGGCAGCTGATCGATGTTTCTCTCTCATCGATGTTTCTAACTCTCTATCCTTCTCCTTTCCTCTCTGTAAAAAATCAATAAAATATATATTAAAAAAATAATGCAGAATTACTTGTTTTGCTCTCATAGTATAATTACAAGTTTTATTTATTTATTTTATTAATCGTTATCCAAGGATATTTTTCCATTGATTTTTTAGAGAGAGTGGAAGGGAAGGAGGAAGGGGGGAAGAGAGAGAGAGACAGAGACAAAAAGACAGAGACATCAATATGAGGGAGACGCATTGATTGGTTGCCTCCCACATGTGCTCTGATCGGGGCCAGGGATCGAACCTACAACCCAGATATGTGCGCTTGACCAGGAACCGAACCTTCAACCCATCAGTATGTGGGCTGGTGCTCTAACCACTGACCCACACACCCACACTGGCTGGGCGATAATTACTGGTTTTAATGAAGTGTTATAAGATGTTATAGTTTGGTACCTCGTCTAAGCAGTTGTTTCATATATCACATGGAAATAGGATATTTTTTAGGAAATAAAGTGCTTTAAAAAAAAATATATATATATATATGCCAGTTTGTTATTTTAAACTACTTAATCATAAATACCTTAGGAAACTTACTTGATGGTATAAAAAAACTAAAAATTAACAGCTCTAAACTTTCCAATATTCTTTTTGTCATATGGAATTGTTAATGCTGTTAACTGGTTTAATGCCATATGTCAAATTAGTTGAAAGTTATTCTTTCCAGTGAGGTACTTATTGAAATAAATCACTAACTAAAAATAAGAAGACATGTGATTAGTTTAAGTATGTCTGGTAAATCTTTCCTTTATTCCAATTAAAAAAAAATTCTCACCCTAAACCTGTAGAATTTGTGTTTTTGAAAGTGATTTGATAATAGCCAAAAGTAGAAATAACCCAAATGTTCCATCATCACATGAATAGGTAAATAATATGTGGTATATCCATGTAATGGAATATTTTTCAGTCATAAAAAGGATCAAAGCACTGATACATGTTATATGGATGACAGTGCTTAAAAGCATTTTGCCAAGTAAAAGGATCCAGACCCATAGTCCTCATACTGTACAATTTCATTTACATGAAAAATTCAGAGAAGGAAAATCTATAGAGACAGAAAGTAGATTAATGATTGCCTAGGTTGGGGTAGAACTGGGCAGTGACTCCTAATAGGCACAAGGATGTTTGTTTTTTTAATAATAATTAATAGAAGACTTATTTAAACAATAATACATATAGTCCTCATACTAGACTTAATGTGAGATGTTAAATGTTTGATCCAATTTTCCTTCCTGGATAAGTTTTTCTTTCCTATCTCTCTATCAGTTTTAAAAACGTAATACCAGAGAAGAGGGACCCAATTCCAATCACAGCTCCTAAGAGTGAGGCCTTGGGAGTGGGTCTGAAATTGGGATAGGCATTTGCTGATCTTGTGTAGGCCCAATGATTCAAAGCAGGATCTTTGATAGGCTCTAGGAGGCTGGGTTCGTTGAAGCAGGTACTCTCTTGTAAGCAGGTATCTTATGGCCACCTGCTCAGCTTGTGCCTTCCAGGTTTCTGGAGATACGTCATCGTATTCAACTAGGTCGAGGGTAGGGGGCAGGGTGGCCAAGCCCAATGGCTTGTACTCTGGGAATGCCTTCAGGCATCTTTGGAACCTGGCGCACAACTTGGGCACGAGTGGTCTTCCTGAAGTGATAGAAATGTTTTGTTGGACTGTGGTGATGGTTGCACAACTTGATGAGTTTACTAAAAATCTTTGAGTGGTATGCTTAAAACAGGTGAATTTTATAGTATGTAAATCATAGTTCAAAAAAAGCTGTTTTAATTTTTAAAATGTGATTTGAGCTCAAATATTTTATTTGTTTTTGCTTCCCCCCTCCCCCATTTGCCTCCAGTTTGGAGAAGAAAGTTAAGGAGATTGTGCATAAAGCTTTTTGGGATTGCTTGAGTGTCCAGCTAAGTGAGGACCCCCCAACCTATGACCATGCCATTAAACTTCTCGGGGAGATCAAAGAGGTAAGGTGAAGAACAAATTGTGGTGCTTTTCTGGTGTGTTAGGAATATTCAGCTTCTCTGTGTTACTGTGCCAGAAGACTAAAGAAATTAAGGATGAAGTTAAATTACTTGCCGAAATGTGGATTGAGTACTTTTGGCTTAAAGCCCTTTTTAAAGTTTCAAACAAGCTATGGTAACCTGAAGGCATTCCTTTGTAGACAAAGAAAAGGTTAATATTTTAAAAAACAGAATTATTTAGAGAAAATTTATTTTATGAATTATAGGTGATTTATAAAATTTTCAATAGGTGTGGACACGTTCAATTTATAGTGGCCAAAAAGTGATTCAGCCTGAGGAATAGAGAAGGCCTTAAGTGAAAGGTAGGGCTGTTTTTGTGATACCTTTGACAGTAGTATCAAAGAAGAGATGTTTCTGTGGAAATTGACCTCTGTGGTTGGTTCACAGGCTTGTGTTAATTAATGTGTTTTACTTTTCTCACTTCTATTCATATTGCATCCAGTTGAGCGTTACCTAGAACTTAAATGGAAACTTAAATAGCTCTAAATGATTTGTAGACATGTTTTTCTGTAGACTTGTTGAATGAGGGGTTAAAATATGTGCGACCTTATAGTAACAGTTGGTAAGTCCTCATTTGGGTAGGAGTAAATTCCTGTATATATAATAAAAAATGATGTCTGACTAGGAAGCTGATTAAACTTGGCTGTACTCTTTTGCAGACTCTCTTTTCTTTCTTGCTGCCTGGTCACACTAGACTGAGAAACCAGATTACGGAAGTCTTGGATCTGGATCTCATAAAGCAGGAGGCAGAGAATGGGGCCCTTGACATTTCCAAGCTGGTTGAATTCATTATTGGCATGATGGGGACCCTGTGTGCACCTGCTCGAGATGAGGAAGTCAAGAAGCTAAAGGACATTAAGGAAATAGTGCCCCTTTTCAGGTATGAGAGTCGTGTTAATCACCTCAAGTGCACCTAGAACACAGAACCTCTTTTCAAAAACCTCTTCTCAAATATAGATAACTCATGCATTTTTGTTGTTATTGTTAATCCTCACCCGAGGATATTTTTCCGTTGATTTTTAGAGAGAGTGGAAGGGAGGGGAAGAGTCAGAGAGAGAAATATCGATGTGAGAGAGACACTTTGATTGGTTGCCTCCCACACGCACCTCAACCAGGGCCAGGGATCAAGCCTGCAACCGAGGTACATGCCCTTTACCAGAATTGAACCTGGGACCCTTCAGTCTGTGGGTCGACGCTCTATCCACTGAGCTAAACTGGCTAGGGCAGATAACTCAGGCATTTAAAAAAATGTTAAAAAGCAAACATTTTATAAAACATAGAAAGGTAGAAAGAAGGAAAAAGTTCACCCATAACTTTACCACCAAAAGGCACAATCACTGTTATAATGCTGATATATATTTTTTTAGTTTTTTACCATTGTTTTTTTATTCCAAATCTACAGAAAAGTCACAAAAACAGTATAATTATGACTCATATACCCTTTATGTAGATCCACCAATTTTTAACATTTTGTCAATTTGCTTTCTTTGTATTTTGTTTATTTATTTCATCTTTTTATTCTTCACTCGAGGATATGTTTATATTGATTTGAGAGAGAGAGAGACATCGATGTAAGAGAGAAACCTTGATTGGTTGCCTCTTATACACGCCCCCACCGGGGATGGAACCTGCAACTTAGGCATGTGCCCTGACCAAGAATTGAACCCACAACCTTTTTGGTGTACGGGATGATGCTCCAGCCAACTGAGCCACCCAGCCAAGGCTCCCAATTTGCTTTCTTTTTATATACTTGTGAGTATGTATGCATGTGTGTATGTTTTTTTCTCTTGAACCTTGTGAGAGTTAATGGCAGACATTGTGACATTTCACCTTTAAATATTTCAGCATCTCCTAAGAATGTAGACATTCTATATAATCAAAATACAAACAAGACATTCAATAAATTTAACTTTAATATAATCCTATTAACTAACATATTTTATATTAACTTTCTTTGGTCTTTTGCATGTTTATATTTAAATATATATCATTATTATTAAATTTATATAATTGTTATGCTAATGTGGACAAAGAATTGACTGATGCTGCCTGAGACTTTGACTTTTGGTTAACTGCTTAGCTGTGTGTTCCTGTGAACAGATAAAGATGTTTTGTATCAAAATGGTACTAGGCAACATTGCTTATGGGGAAAGTGAACTCTGATTGGTGAATTGCGTCTGGACTGAAAGGAATGATAATGAACTATAAATACTGGATGGGACACCATACTTTGAACTTCCTTTAGTGAGGTAGCTTTTATAATTGGACCCCTAATGAGGACCCTGGAAGCCATGCTGTAGAGTTGTTACAAAATATTTTCTCACTTGAAGACTGTCAAATTACAGCAGGAAGGCTGGGGAGTGTTGGGTGGGGGGGTAAGAGATCAGCCGAAGGACTTGTATGCATGCATATAAGCATAAC